CCGGGGTCCCCGCCCCCGGACCGCCGGCAGCCAAGCTGCATGCTGCCCTCCTGGGGCGCTCATCTTCAGGGAAGGTCGCGCATGGCAGGGACGGGTCCAGGGGAGAGACACTCTGGGGCCGGGCTGGGAGGACGCTCGCGCACGGGGTCAGGACCAGCTTAATGCTGGCTAGCTGGCTCTCTCTCTCTCTTTTTCAGAGGGGGCGGGGGAGCGCTGGCTCCTCGCGGAACCCCTCGTTGTGCTCCGTGGAACCCCAGGGTTCCGCGGAGCACCAATTGGGAAACACTGGTCTAGCAGCACCTTAAAGACAAACAAAACATGTAAATGGTATCATGAGTTTTGTGGGCACAGCCCACTTCTTCTTCAGAAGTGGGTTGTGCCCACGAAAGCTCATGATACCATCTACATGTACCATCTTTATGGTCATCTACCACTAACCAGCTGTATATGTGCTCAGAGTCTGCCTATGTCTCCTTACTTCAGTTTTATCCCATTATTCCTCTATGTACCTCCTTGTACCTCCTTAGCAAGACCTCTTTCTGAGCTGGGGAATCTCAGAAATTCTGGTTTGTGTGATATTTTTCCCATTTCCCTTCACTACAGTTTGAACCCCCCAAAGCTCAGGATTAAATTTAGCTCAATCTATCACAATTACCTTGGTTTAAATCCCAAGCCATATATCAGCCAGGACTGCCCTAATCCAAAGCTTGTTCCGATTTGAGAGAACCATTTGCTGAGACCAGACTAGGTTTCATGTTTGCTGTAAAACTGAAACCAGGCAATGTTCATCTGGCCTAGGGCCAGATTCATGGCTGGTACAACACCATTGACCTCAGAGTTGTAAACCCAAGAACAAATCAGACCTTCAGGGTTTATAATTACTCTTCAGATACTTTAGGCAAACTCTGTTTCAACACTAATACCTCCTTTGTTATTACAATTATTACATAGGATGCAGTACTTCCTTGATTCACACACTTGGATAGAGGAGATTCCAGATGCTGACACATGCAAAGCCACCATTCGCCGGAAACCTTGTGCTCAACTCCATGATTTTATGAATGAATATGAGATAAAAAAATGCATCGTTTGAAACTTGGTGTCATATAATTTACCCCATAACCTCCTTTGTTATTACAATTATTACATAGGATGCAGTACTTCCTTGATTCACACACTTGGATAGAGGAGATTCCAGATGCTGACACATGCAAAGCCACCATTCGCCGGAAACCTTGTGCTCAACTCCATGATTTTATGAATGAATATGAGATAAAAAAATGCATCGTTTGAAACTTGGTGTCATATAATTTACCCCATA